ACACTTATTCCCTCATCCTTTACATGCAATAGTATAAACATTTTATCAATTCTGTTCAACTTTTACTTTACAGTAAATATATAAATGGAGACAAGTAACAATCCAAATGCAAACACACCAATACTAAGAACTGATAGGAGCTTTGCTACTGACTTAACAGGATGAGCATTTATCTCAAGTTTGTAGCACTCACAAACCCACATCTGCACCATTAGTCCCCTCAAATAACAATTTACTCCACAGGTAGCTACTAGAAAATTTACAGAACTAATTATGTAGTAAGAGACTCATTAGAAAGTGAAGAAAAGAAGAAAATCTCTCCCTGGATAGCCAGTTTTCCTTTAAAGTTTAATTTGATACGAGTGCCAGACTAACGAGACTTAAGTGTCTGTTAAGCTCCTTGCTAAAAGAATTCCAGTTGTTTAAAAATAACAAAACCAGTATTACTGAACAGTATTTTGCATACAACAAGAATATTAAGAACGTATGTCTTCAGCCTTCTAAAAATGTTAAGCTAACACACTAATCTAACAACTTTATGAAACTAATAGTATGCATATTTTCCTGGATCTATCTGCATGCAACCCACTTATGATCTTAAACTCATGACTACAATTCAACATGCTAGCAGTGTTCCCTGTGCATACATTAGAGACAGTATGCACAGGAAAAAAAAAGCTGTAGTTAACACAGCCAGACTCTATATTTAGGTCTTTATTGCATGTCACATTTTCTGAGAAAACATGCTAGCCTAAATGAATAATCACTCCTTACCAACAGAAGTCAATGAACTTGCTGGACTCCTAGTGGCACGGTTAGAATGTCTCCTATGAGGACTACGAGGTCTAGAGAGAAAAGAACAAAAAAATTATGGGAGTATGCCACCAAAAGAAGAGTTCCACTTCCCTATAAAAAATTAACATTAAAAAGAAAGCACTTTTCTTTGATCAATAACAAATGAAAACAGAAAGGTTTTATTGCAATTCCTCTCATCTCCAAACTGCAAAATGGAGCAAGATTGCAGAAGGAAGAAAAATTACAGAAATCGCTCTCACAAAGGTGTTCCAACATTCACTGATAACTTCATGCACTGTGAACTTTTGATTCCCCAGAAAAAACTAAGTTTCTTTAGTTCACTTAAATGACTTAAAACTCATGTAAATATGGCATATTGAAAAAAAAAAAAATTAGTCTTTGTAAATTGTTACTGCTTCCTAAACTAAGTTTTAGGACTGAAATAATTTCTTAGGCTCCCACACTGATACTCTTATTATAGCAATACAGGAACTTTCTAGATTGAAAATCAGGTGAAAGTCTCAAATGACTGCAGAAAATTAAATGCTGATCCAGTAAATAACGCTACTTTTAAAGGGCTACATTGTAATTCTGAATCTTAAATAATCTTGAAGTTCAGAGAAGTACACTTTAAAAATACAAGCAAATTATAGTATAGATTTATGATCAATACCTTCCGACTAGTTTTTTCCCCCACATTTTGAGTCTAATGGCAGGTCAATAAATTAAGAATCCCAGGTCAAGAAGTATGCTTTATCAGAAGACTGAAAATAACCTTAATTCAACTCAAAACTTAACTGAAGTTTTCAACTTCAAACAGGATTATTATTTCCATTCAACAGCTTACTTTCACATATGCTTAACCTCAAGCTGGTATTCTTGCTCTGTCAACCTGAACAGGCCCAAGTATCTGCTTCAGGACTCACTGTACTATATAGAATTTGAGACAGACATTTATGTTGTCCAATTGTCTAGCTTAGAAGCATTATCTACTTGAATTTTCAACTGATATCTATTTTATTTCACAAGATCACGAACGTGGTCCTGTCCCAGTTTCCAGGTGCTACAAAAGTATATTTCGCAGCTTCACTGAAACAGTAAGGAGGACGGAACAGCTACAAGGGACAGAAGGAAAGAAGAATGCTGGAAGAGAAGCCTACACTTGTTGCATCTGGTTTTAGATAGAAAAAAAAATAATAATCCAGTAACTCAATTTCCAATGCTTTCAACTCAGGAGTTTAAAAGAACTGAGTATATCTTAACTGGCTTTAGAAGAAAATTTTTAAGATGCTGGCTAATTATATCATGCTACTCTAATATTTCAGAAGATTATTTTAAGAAACAAAGTTAGACAGCAATATCAGAATACCAACAACTTTTGTAAGGAAAGAAACAATATACAATAACAGTAGCTTCACCAGCATCACCTTTAATTGTATAAAACAGTATGTATTTTAAGTCAATATCAAGAAATATGCACAGGACTGGAAGGTAGATTTATTCAGAAAGATATATTTAATATGCTACATCTATCAAAAGAAGAAGCATTTTAGCAGTTCATAAAATTATAAAATGCTAAGTAAAAAAAATAAATTAAAAATTTGTAAAAGCTATTAGGAGAAATTGCGAAGTATTTTTATGACCATAAGCCTTTCTTGGAAATTTTTTGCCCTTACAAATAAGCCTTATTATACAAACTGTCATACATTGCCAGTCCATCTTTTGCCAAAACCTTCCTTCTTCATTAAAACACACTTTAATAATTTAAGGATCATGCAAACATTGTTTTTAAGAACATCGGGTTTTTGCTGCATTTAGAATATACATTTCAAAGCAATATTTTAGAAACACAGCTCCTAGAATTACTGTACAATTTATGCATAGATTGGTAATGTATTATATAGTACCTGTTAACCAGATTTTTATCAATTTCTACATCTGGCGTAACAGCATTCTCTGGAAGAACAATAGAAGGTGTACTGCATGTTGTCCCTTCAACAGTAGTGTCCTGAATGGTTTGTGACAAATATAAAAATGCAGTTAAACAGAAATTCAAAACACTGAATATTGATGCTCTATGTGGAAAATAATGTGTATTGCTCGATTTAGCTAAAAGAGAAAATGACTGAATAAAATGAGAATTAGCTCTTATTTGATAAAACTAGTATGAATTAGAGGCCTATACTTAAATTGCTGAAAAGATATGATGGAGACCTGGAATATCTGTTTTCTTTATAAATTTTTAATACACATAAGAAATTCAACAAGCATGGAACTATTGAGAAAGCTTTAAAATGGCAGACAAATTGATTTTTCACAGAAAACCATTCCTCTGCTGAAGTAGATGTACAGCATGTAGTGAACCTACAAGCTGAATGCAAGAGTGAAAAGCAGCTATGTATAACCCCAGGGCTAAGTTTGGCACACAAAACCTTCAAACAGAACTAGTGAGCAATGAAAGCTTGAATAAATGCAGTATTAAGTGTACACATGCTATCCAAAAAACCAGAAAATAATAAGGTTATTTTGTTAGTATCCTACTTGGGATTTCCCTCCCATTAATTAGAAAAAAAAAATATAAAATATAACTGCAATATTTAATAAAATACAATATAATCTTTAAGTGATAAAAGAAACTGGCACTGAATATCAATGTATGCTTGCCTTTTTAAAAAACATGAGAACTTGTCCCAAGGACTTAATTCCACACCTTCTACCACAATGATGCCAATCAGCTGAAAAGAAGGAATATTGTTTCCTGTGAGATATCTCAAATGGAGATACATCAAGCTGGAATAAAGAACTGTATGTTCTTCTCATATGTAGTAAAAAAAATGATTACTTTACTCCATGTACTATATTAATATCCATTTAAAAAAAAATCATCCAAAAAAACCCCAACCCCTGTACTGTTGAAAGGTTACATAAAGAATTTGGTATTTACAGTCAGTCAAGAAGTTGAAAAAAGTGATTCACATAAAACCTTGCAGAGGGCGGGAAGTAGATAGACAGAACATATCATAGCTGTGTGAGTATTTATAGCTGGAGGGAAAGCTTCCCAAAAGTGGCAGGGACTGCCATCAATCAGCTTGTAAAATTTAAAGAATAATTTGTAAATTCTCAAATCCTAATTGCTTCTGCTAGGCAGTGGTAAGTGCAAGTATTTTATTTTATTTAGTTATTTGGAGTCTAAATTTTTCTTGAAACTACATTCCAAAGCTTCATAAGAAATTTTTACTTCTGTTGGCTTTGGATTAGATAATAGAATATCTCAGTTGGAAGGGACCTACAGTCATAATCTATTCCAACTGCCTGACCACTCCAGGGCTGACTAAAAGTTAAAGCATGGAATTAAGGAAATTGTCTAAATGCTTTTTAAATACTGACAGGCTTGGGGCATCAACCACCTCTCCAGGAAGTGATGCTTCTGAATTTTCTAAAAGAGCATATTTGCTATCCATGGTACAAAGCCAGTTACATTTAATTTTTATAAGCAGCATTTTGCTTTCACTGAAATCGCATTTGCTGCCAATTTTGCTTACTTCTTTTAAGAACATTTACCCACTAGTGGTTGACACAAGTGTAATGAATTCAGAATAACATTTATTTTAGTAATATTCATTAAGTAGGCAGGTAATAAAAAGCTGTTATAAAAGCACTAATTTAGGCATTTACAGAATGAAGCATCTGACAGTTCACTATTTAGTAAGTCAATATTTTAGAACAGAGAAAAATAAATAATTGCAATTATCTGAAACAAAGGCTATCAATGAATAATTATTTCAGTCATCTGCTGTCATGTGGAGAAATTAGCATCATCATAAGGTTACTAGGTAACAATGTATTTTGTCTAACAGTCAATGACAAGAATTCAGGTGACTGTCCTGTTCATAGGGCAAAGCAGCTGAGTACACATGCACATTGTTTATACTAATCCCATGGCTGCCAAAGAGCAAAAGCTTTTGAGTGATGTAACATCAGTCTTAAAGTCACTCAGGTCCATTTTAGGACTCTAACAGCTCATTAAAATGAAAAAAAAAAAAAAATAAAAGAAAAAGGCCATAGCCAAGGCTAGTTCAGGTCAAGCAGAATACTTAAATCTTGATCAACAGTTATAGCAGTTCAACCTCTGCACAGGTGAAAACTCATGCCTCCTGCTGTCCAAACCTACTGTACATTTGTGTAGGAGAGAGGCAAGAAGAGTTAGAGCATGAAGCTCTTTGCAGGGCCAGCTGGTTTGAATCAAAAGAAATCTTTAAACACTGAAGAGTACTCAGGCTGCTATATGCAGATCTTGGAAAAGAATCCTTAACAGGAAGCTTAAGCTGTCTCACAGTTGTACATCTGCACAAAGATGATACAAAAGTTTTCCATCACCCTCCCATTGCCTGTAAGTGCCCTTTCTGTGTTAGCTTCCAGACAAGTCTGCTCTTCAACTATTCCCAACAGCTGTCTCATCTCCTAGTACCAGTGACTGCCTCCTACTAAGTCTGTGCTTTCCTTTTGTCTCAAGCCCTCCTCGTTTAAAAATGTAGGGTAGAACCGACTCTATGACTCAGCTGAAAACTGATCCACTTGTTCTACAAGGATGATCATGTGCCATCTGCTCTTGCAGGGAGGCTTGTGCAGGGCTGAGAGGATGGCAGATGCAGTCTGGTCCATAACAGAAGATCCAAGAGGCTCAGGGGCACTCAGGGTGCATAGGATCTGCAGATATTCTGGCTGTTAAGCTGTACCAAGCCTTCACTAAGCACACAGAAAATGCATTTTTAGAAGTTTTATAATCTAGTCAAATTCGGATGGATTTGAATGGGGAGGGGATGTGGGCACAGAATCTCTGCTAAAAGAGCTACCCTGCCAGGTCAGTCAGATGATAAAGCTTTAGTGTACACCATCTAAATTCTTTAAAGCTTTTTTTTTTTTTTTGGGGGGGGGGGGGAAGGGGAAGGGGGACAAAACAACAAAAAACCCCCCAAAAACCCCAATTCTTCCACTTGGCTGTATTCTTAGAAATTAAGGGTCTGCACTGAATTTCAGAACAAATTTGTCCTGAAACAGGCACATATGTGAAAGGCCTCAGAAAAGTTACACATCTCAGAAAAGAGTCATTTGAGTGAAATGGGGTTTTAAATAAGCTCAATTTTAGATGTTTAAGTGACAGGCTGAGCTCAGTGTTTAGCAAGTGAGATAATGAAATTCAATCATAACTGCATCTAGTTGAAACAGACCGGAGAAGAAAGTAAACACAGGACACCTCCTTTAGAACAAAGCTGGTAACATGCAGTTATTTGATGAAAGTACCATACAAATTTAAATAGGAATAACAGAAATATATGCAGAAGCTTGAATAATGGAATAATCAGTGTACAAGAAACATTATGAACAACTGAGATAGACTTTTCCTCAGCCGTCAGAAGAGTCAGTAAAATAGTGTTCACACACAAAGACACAAAGAGAGGAGAAAGCTGGAAAAAGAAATATGGATTTTTGATTTAGAAAAAGAGAAAGACGGCAGCTCACAACCAGTCCTGACAGTGTAAGGAGATATATAGGCTACTATAAATCTTAACAAAACTGGTAAGGACAATTTTCTTTGCTGCAGGTAGGCATTACATGTATAGAAATTCTATTTTTAATACTAAAAACCTGAAATCAGTTTTTAAGGGTATCAGTGAAAGTATATTATAATATTATATTATATGTGAAATAAATCTAATTAAATTAAAATATGGAAATTACTAAAAATTACATTTCACTACAAAGTTCTGTGATTTCTGGTGGGAGAAATGATTCTGTATAAAACACTTAAAATGTTTCAATACTTACTGTAACAAGACAGGACAAAAACTAAGAGTTCAACTACACACTGTTAATTCAGACAACATGTCAAATAAGGGGCTACATTTCTTCGAATTAGGCTAACTGCCTTGACATCTGTGTTAATGGCAGTTTCACATGTACTTCCGTCGGGAACACAAAGCTAATAAATACTTTGATTAGTGTTGTTTAGGTTTAGTCATAATGGTGAACACAGGCTGCCGTAAGAAATCCTGAAATGGAAAACCATATCTGTTTTCCCCAAATGAACTTGATAAATACAACCCAGGTCTTCCCATCATGTAAAAGATACTTGAAGTAAGCAAAAAGCTACATGTGATGAAGTTCATTTTCTCAGAATCATTTTGTGAAAGTGCATGCATTTGTGCACGCAGGGAAAAGATGGGGAAGCGTCTCCTGAAACAGAATGAGGAAATTGTTAGATACCAGGCAACACTTCAGATGAGATTCCAGTCTTGGAAGGTTTTGTTCAACAGCAGAAAATAAGTCCACCAGTTGTTAGCTTCTTCTGATGCCCCTTCCTTGCTTGCAAGTCCTTATCTCCCACTACAAGCTATTTTACTTATTACAGAGTCATGCTGTGGAACTGGACTGCAGCAAGACCCAAGAGTGATAATAGGTATGAACGAGATCAAATTCTCAGTGTTGGCTAGTTGCAGCCCTCAACTTTAATAGACTCGTGAGCAGTGTGTCAGCTGAAATCCTTTCACTGTTACTTTGTGCTAAAAATAACAATTGATCTAAAACACAGTGTTTTGCACAGTTAACCAATTAATGAACTATCACATTACTATAGACCTACTTCTAAAATGCTTGCATAACATATTAATTTTTTTTTCCAGATTTATGATTGGAATTCTTCATTTCTCCCATTTGACAAGCAAACATAAGATTAGATTAATTGATGTTTGCTAGCTTTTAATATTTTTTTCTCTTTGAGTATGTTTTATCCAGCAAATCTTTTGTACTACAAGACTCTCCATATGAGTAAATCAAAAAAAAAAGTCGTCTTAACCTAATATATGTTCTTAGCAAATAGTCTGATGAACTTGCATCCATCTGGGGTGTTTATCTTAAGCCAGGAAACTAACACTCAGCACAATGTGCAATTTAGATGGAATGCATGACAAATCAATGTAGGACTCGCTGCTGACAATATTTTCCATCAATAAATTAAAGTAGCGGATGTTTTCACCTAAAGTGTAGAATACAATGTCCTCAAATCCAGTGACAGTGATACATTTTTAATTGATCACGTGCCAGATTATAAATCCATTTTTTCTCTACACCAGTTTGCATAAACCAGGATGACCTGGATAACCTGTCATTTTATAATCACAGTAAGGTTCTTTACTTCAGCTAAGCTAAATTTTTTTTTAAAAAACCAAACAAAAATCCCAACAAACCAAAAAGTGCCCACTTTATTAGAACATAAAATTACATTTTATCAGTAGTATAAATGATTCAAAAGGGAGAAGTATAATCTCTTATTGATTTTTAAAAATTTTTCTGCAAATAAAACATGTAAAAATACATAGATGCCACAAACTTGAATAGCAAAATGATTAATATGTCCAGGGAGCACCCACCTGCTCTTTGTATAGTTCCAGTATATGTTCAGATACCACTATGGCAAATAAAGCACTGAGAAAAAACTACAAACCAAAAAGCAGACTTCTGTCTTTCACACGCACATGAACTGCACAGGATCTTCTATATCTGTAAAGGCAATACTAGATCTTTCAAGGCTGCTATAAAGTATAAGTCTAAGTCCTTTTTTCAAAGGTCAAAGTTTTCTGTCATAGCATTACAAAGGATATTTTTGACAGCTTTGATACAAATGGTTCAGAAGGGATAGACATATAAGCCTCCAGATCAAATTGCTAAACAAGTACTTGAGCAATTCAGTTCTCATTCCTTAGTCTATAAAATATTTGAAGAATTCTAAGAGTATCAACTGAAAGATCATTCATAGAGTCATCAGTTAACCAAAGCACACTAATACATAGCAATGATTAGATGTTATTTTATAAAGTCCTAAATATACACAAACAGGTTTCAGCCTCGGGTTTCCAACAGGTGTCAGAAAACACCTTCGTAAGAGTGCTTACTTTGGCTGGAGGAGAACTGTTGTGTTGTGTCTCTTTTGATTGTCCCTTGTCTTCAGGTAAGGTTGGCATGGTGGACAGTGCGAAGCGCGTGGAACTGCAACGTGGACTAACAGGATCATGCACTCCTGAGAATATCTGTTTCAAGCTAGCCTGAAGGCATAAGCACTGAGAGGCCTTCTGATCCACAGGCTGTGTCAGATGTCAGAAATACAACACAAATCCTTTTAAAACTCTGTGCTCTAACATTGAGATCACTTTATAATAACAAATAGCATTAAAGTTTAAAATTAAAAATGCTATCGTGTGTTTTATTAACTAAAGCTTCCAAGGTCAAGTATAACTCAATGAATGCATTCAAAACTGACAACCTTCCGTTCTTGTTGCCATTCCCATCTCTTCCCCCCATTTTACAGATTTATTTTCTTAACTATGGCTGTTTTGGCTGTGATAAAACTACCCTCTTTAAAAATCCTCTAAGAAAGCAAACAGCATCCTGGCTATCTGTAATATGCCTTTTAGTAGCTAACAAAGTCCTAATGCTACAGAGTGTGATCTCAGATCTCAAAGAAAGGAGTAAAACTGGAAACCCAGATGGTGGCACTCTTTCTTTGAGCAAAAGCAAGGGCTGGGTAAACTGTGCAAAGATTTAGTGTATATCTGCACAAGACAACACTGTACAAGAAACTTCTGAAGCAAAATTGCCACAATGCCCAAATGGAAAAAAACCAAACCAAACCAGAACAACAAAACAAACCCCCTCCCCTGCCTATTAGCTGTGAAAATTCTTGTTATTAGTATCAACGGGAGCTACTCTTCGTTAGCATTAAAGCCCATACAGTGGTCTGAAAATGAGAAATGTTAAGTACTAATCCTTATAGCTAAAGTGTACGTATTACAAGACTTACTATGACACCTACCGGATAGCTCAGGAACAGTCCTCATAAATAAATCATTTGATGCCTTGGTGGTGCCTACGAGTGACAGACAATGCAGTTATCAGAGACAATCTGGTATCCCGTTTCTGTCTGGACTAGTAAGAGCTAACTGTATTTCCTTTACAGCTAATTCACTGTTGAGTATAGAATGGAGCTCTACACTGAAGCAGTAATATAACAATTTCAACAGCCAAGGAGATAAACATACCCAACAAGCAGAGGTTCAACCTCCAAAACATGTTATCTTCTCCCAAACTGGAATTACTAATCTCATCTCTATTCCTTTACTCTTCTGGAAATCAAGCTAGATGGAACAAAAAGTTTGAGATGGGTAGATGACTTGAAGTTCAAGGCACTTAGCATTGTAAGATTAACCTTCCACAGTTTTCCCTTCCATTTCAGGGAAGGGCAAAGAAATGTATTCAGAAACATGTCAGTGTATTGAGGCTGACAATTAAAATTATCAAAATACTTGTGTTCATTTAAAAAAAAAAAAAAGTAACAAAACCATTCACACGAAATACTGAAGCAGCCTCAGTAGTGACAAGTTCCTCACCTTAGCTTTCACAGAATAAATTCTGGGTTGTAAAACCTACAGAATGTGTGAAAACTTTGGACTACAGCAACAGCTAGGACCCATGCTTTTATTAGATTTATTTCATATTATATTTGAGATTTACTTTTTTATTTTCTTACTTGAAGGGGAATACAAGGCCACCTCACATGAAATTTCATGCAGAACTAATAGACTGTAAAAAATTATCTCTACACAAGTATTAGTGTGTTTAGAAAAAAATAATTATTTCATTGAAGTTCTTTGATAAAGACAGTGGAAGAGATGAAGCATATATGACATCATTATGAAGACAAAGATGAAGACTTTTTTGGAACAGTGAGCATAATTTTTTTCAGAGCAGTATATGCTGTAGGAATGGCATGTTTCACGCTTTTGCAGACATTTTGAACTTGTTACAGGTGAATTTCTAGCTCTATTGCAATAAGTGGAAGCTCATGTTTGTATCATGATTTTACCCATCTCTGACTTCAAATAAAAGTAGAGGAAAACTTCTGTTAATAAAAAGATGATTTTAAAATGCTTATTAAGACAAAATATCTTTAAAGTCCCTACTATGATGGAAAACAGACATTTATGATTACATATATTTTAATAAACCCACAGAGATTAGGTAGATAGCAGTAGCATTAAACATCTGTGTTTGAACAGTTAAGTATTTCTGTATCAAAAACGGTCATCAACTATTAACACATGAAGATGAGATAGAAATGAGGTAACTAAAAAAAGTGATATAGACCTGCTTTTCATCTCTGTAACAAAATTCTGGCATCCTATGCAATTTCTGAGTTTGCAAGAACTCAAATTCAAACAAAAACAAAAAAGAGAAGATATAAATTTGGCTGTTTATCTAATCTGTCTTAGTGTTTGCCTTATGAATTTATAATGGCTCTGATAGGCTCAACTCAACAGAATGCTGGGCCTGAAAAACCAGGAATGTTTCAAGTCATGGCCAAAGTGTATCTGCAGTCCTACATGGAGTTGGATAAGCTACTGCATCAAAGTGGTTTATTCCTGGTCTTAGCTGAGTTCCTAGTACATACTAATCTTAAAGTAACGCAAATCATATTGAAAAAAAGAAAGAGCTATTAAGCACATCAAGTTTCAGTTCATTTTTCAGATTTTAAAAGAAAAAAATATCAAAAGAAAAAAATAACAAACAGGCTTGTCTAAGAATAGAAAAGGACAAATCCTGAGCTGTGTTGTCTTAGAGATGCAGCACAGAAAGTACAGCCAAGGGAGAAAGGAGGGTAGAAAGATGAATTTACGCCACCTTAACAACCCCCAGATTTGGAGTGGACTGAGTTCAGTCCCTGTCTCACACAATTAGAACCTTACTCTGACTTCCTTACAGAGCTATCTTGCAAGTTGGAAAAAGCTCCAAGTCTTTGGGGTGCCGATCAGTAGGAAAATTTCTTCTTCTGACTTCCCATTTTTTCATAATATCTCTCCAGAAAATGCCAGTGCTAAGGACTGTATTGGAGAAGCAAAAGCTTACATATAATTATTCATATTCTGAGGTTTCTTAAAACAAATGCAGTTTGCACACCCTACCTGCGCTCCTCCTCCTGCTGCAGTCCTCTAAGGTGCCAAAGTAAGGGGTACTACTTACTGGTGTTTCAACAACATATGTAAGAACTTAGTCCAATTCATTGCTATATGATTTAGAACTCCTGAATGATTTTTTTTTTTCAGTCTAAAAGCTCATTAACCTGTACAGTGTTTTTAAGATCAGTAGTCCAGATCCTTTAAAGATTTTAAGATGCTTAAGCAGCACACATGTCACATCTCGTAAAAGCAAATGGATATAACCAATGGAGCCACCTTCTTGCTCCATGCTGTGCAAGGAGTTCTACCATTTCCTGTATCAATTACTGCCTTCTGATACAAGTAGGAAAGGGAAAGGTTTAGAAATGATGGAACCTTAAGACACTAGTGAGTGAATGTTGTTCTTCCATCTCTGCTGAAGTGATCATATGCCTATTTGACCAGGCAATGAAAATAGGCCTAGTAAATGTCTGTGAAAGTCAGAACAGAGAAAAAGGGGGCTTCATGAGAACACTAACAAGCATTAGAGGAGCTTATCTGCATCTCAAATGTAGGAAGAAAAGAAAGAAGCATCCTTGGAAATTTTTTTATCTAGAAGGTACATTTTTTTCTTCTTCAGTAGAGCATTAGGGAGGAGTACAGCCTTGGAACCTACAGAAATTCACACCTCTATCTACAAAACCAGCTTTCAGCCTTACTGAAGCCCAAGCCAAAGTGCAGAGAGCATGACCATCCTGGTTCTAAGCCTGGCTCATCTGCCAGCTGAACAGCCTTTGGAATCATGCTGCCATTAGCTTTGCCAGCTTTATCTACTTTCCACAAGCATAAACATGTTTCAGTCAAAGAGGGAAGTGATATGTTAACAATACATGCAATACAGTGAGATACCAACTGAAACAACTATAATTATTGTCCCTGAAGATACTGAAAGGATAGATTAAAAAAATGCATCTGCACTTTGAAAACAATCAAGGTGCATAAGGTCACGTTAGCATCCTAGTCTCTAAGACAATTTCAAGTTTTTGTTATTTCTTTTGGTAGGTATTGATCAAACTCTGTCTGGTCTACCTCTGTCCTATCAAACGGTGTAATGAGATTGCTGCAGTGTTTTATCAGAGTAAATTATTCCCCCCCTCAAGTCTAGTCTTTTAGAAGTTGCAAGAGCTTCAAAATTGCCTTTTAAAATTAAATACTTGTTGAGATTAACTCACATGTCACAAGCGTGGATGTGGGCAAAAATCTACAATCTTAGTCTGTATGAGCCTTTTGCACCTACAAAATGAGTTAAAAAACCACAAACAAATCACCTGCCCTGTTTATCATATTCTGCTTATTCCCACATGAAGATGAGGCAACTTAAAGAAAAAAAAGTTAAGAAAAAGAAAGAAAAGAGGATGGGGTGCTTTTTAACATTTTGGTCTGTTATTATAAACTTACTGCTTAAAATAGTTTGGAAAAAAATTATCCCGAGCTCAAATTTGTAGTCAGATATAGATCAGTGAATGCAGAGAACTTTCTTTCACCACTGTGTAGGCTTAGAGCACAATCTCCAGGAAATAGTGATCTCGGAGCTCTATTCCATAAAAGGGAAAAGTATTTAGAGGCCCTTGGCTTTCAGTGTGTTCTCTCTGCAACTCATTTTACCATAGTAGAGAAAGCTACGTATAATCAGTTAACTTACCCTCGCTGAGTCACGGCTGAGCACTGTGTTAGTGAAGTCTTAGATAAAGGTGCTTTACTCCATCTCCACTGATAGCTTGGCAGTTGACCTCAAATACTCTGTCAGGTCACAACAAGGATACATTAAAAAAAAAAAGCAAAAATAAACAGTTAGGAAAGCATGTTATTAATATTTCTTGACCTCATACCGCCTGCAAGTCAAGCAACTCTCATTTGTCAACAATGGGAGTTGCATTCTCATGAATACAGCTGAACTGCACAATTCTGAGCTGCTTTTTTCTTTGTTATCCTGCAAAGCGGTTGTAAAATATTACCATATTAGAAAGGAATCG